CAAGACTCATGCCTAGTTTCTACAAGCTTCGGCTGAAGTCATTTCATGGCTTCACCAGATTTCACAGCTACTCACTGATGGCTAATAATCCACGTTTTAGGCACCGCTTGCGATAAAGACGAGATGTAGAACGTATCGATTGGGGCAGGGCGGAGCTAGCGACGTAGGGTCCCGCAACGAATACCTGGCGCCGGCCCAAATTGTTGGCAAATTGCCTCTGCCAGGGGTAGGAATCAATAGCGCCCAAAACGCTGAGAACTTTCCGGACAACCTAATAGGTTACACTACCTCCGTCGTCATGTAGCACTGACTTAGCTTCTGATTGCCATCTCACGTACCTCACTTGGGCATCATTTGTGAACAAATATGGTTTTCAAAAGCATCTCAAAAATGAATAAAAGTGAATTAATGAATTATGAAACCGAGTTGTTTCTGTAAGTGAGGGAACCACTCCTTGCGTGGTTTCTGACAACAAGTTGCCGATGGAGATAGGGCATACACTAGCGGAAATAATACTTGTACCAAGCTTTGAGATGGTTTTTGTAATAGTTTTGACTCATTTATTTCCTTTTAGGCCACTTTGGAGCAGAAGCTAAAATTATAATGTAATAATCTAATCATTAACAGTTTGGTAAGGCGGAGGTAGTTAGTGACAAGTGGCGTACGGGATGTGAGGAGCATATCTCAGATCGGCTTTCGCGAGCCGAACCTCTGTAGCTACCTGACTAGTGGCTGACCGGACTCGTCAGAAAGGGCGTAAATACCGGCTTTGACATGGGCTGTATTTGGCAAGTAATTCCATAGGCCATAACACGTTTACAAGCCATTTCAATTCCAAATGGGATTAGAAACCTTGTTTTGTTCTAGAATGTGATACATAGACTACAGAAGCTTCATTCTTCGAGCTTCCATGATGCTGTTAAATTACGTCGTCCTGTCGACCGTCACAATACTGAGGTGTTCCTCGTCCCATGCAGTGAGCGGAAATGAGTCAGGCCCATCTGGTTTATCTAGCAAGGAGTCGGGCCTTGCCTGGGTGTTCGTTTCCTTTTCCTTCTAGTTCTCTTATCGCGCTACGCCCCCCTCGATTCTTAACGGAAGACTTCGAAGTAGGTGAGTCCAATATTACCTTGGTAGCGGCTTGCCCTATCGCAATATTCTTCACTATTATGTCCGCTCAACAATTTCGATCAGTCAACGCTGTTTTTTTTGAAATGTTTATTTCAGGATTATTCAATTTGAGCAAACGAAGATTTCACGTGCAATAGAGAAAAGCCTGACGAAACTTTTTGAAAAGCGCGCTAATTTGACTTGTTCCTAGTTTTTTTTCTGTACTGTATGTTGTAGATTGACATTGCTGTTACTGGATGAAGGAGTTCGGAATGTCACGAGCTTCTGAGGCACCGTCGTAATTGCAACGACCATTTTTTTTACCCTAGTTCTCTATAAGTAAATAAAACCGTAAGTAAACGCGTGTAAAAAAGGAGCAATAAACGAATCGGGATTGTTGTTTACAAGCTTATTAACATGCTGGGTCGAGCCGTGCTGGCCGTTTTTTTTTCTGTTAATTTCTCGCAAGCTTCAAAACTTTATAATTTGGGTTAGCTCGTATAGTTTTGCAACGGTATAGTTTAGTTTTGCAACAAAGTGTACGTTGCTCATTTTAGGGGCCGATTCTGATTGCATCATCACGCGGTGGTGTAAATATCGAGGAAGTGGCGGCCAGCGACCCAGATGCTATTATCAAAGTTCCGATTGATATGTGCCTTGGCGTCACGCGCGAGAAAGCCGCCGAAGTTGCTGCTCTCATGGGTTTCCAAGTATGAAGCAGTTTAGTAACTCTTCCATTTCAACCGATTCTCAGAATTTGTATCCTCTACAGGGAGATTGCTCGAAGCAGGCTGCTGAAATAATATTCAAATTGTATAAACTATTTCGTGGAACTGATGCAACTCTGTTGGAGATTAACCCTATGGCGGAAGATGTTAATGGAAACGGTAAGCTTCTTTCCGCATTAGGCATTTTTGGGCTCAATCTCTTGAATTGTTAAGTGTATTGTATGGATTGCAAAATCTTACTGGATACAAATGCTGAATTCCGCCAAAAAGAACTGTTTCAACTAAAGGATTCCAAGCAAGAGGATCCTCTGGAAGTAAGTGACCTCAGTTACTCTCTGAAACAGAACAAGATGAAATGTTTCGTTATGATAAGCTCAAAGACACTTCTCGCGACAAAGTGTCATGGATAGTTGCTGTTCAATTATGAAACAGTAGCTGATAAGTAATTCCCCAAAGAAGAAAAAAAGCAAGAAGAGTCCTCAAGAACACATAAACAAAATCGCTCCCTGACAGTCACACCACCCTGCGGTCTCTGTGCAACCACTGACTCACAAACCCTTTTCCGCAGCTCCCAGTGGTAAATACTATACAAAGAAAAGAATTTTGAAAAACAACAGAAACACCGACGGAAAACTCGCGAAAAAAGGAATTTTGCAAAAACTTGGCCAAGAAAATTGCCTCTCTCGTGATTTTTACGCGTTTTACCTTGGAGATGGGTTGCAGTTGACTGTATGTGCTCCTAATGAATAAAATGTAATAAAGGAGAGCAGAATTATTTATGGGCACGAGCGCGGTCAGCAAAAAGGACATGCAATTCCGATTAATGCCCGCCGCCCCAACAAAGAACAACTGAGGCCCTCCGTCAGAGGGCATCTAGCAAGTGGGCGGTCCAACTGGCGGGCGTTAGAACTAGAACTTTCAGCGGCTGTAGCTCGCTCCTCGCTCGCTGTGGAGTCGCGAGAGTGGGACAGTCTGTTAGCTTGGGGCTAGACTACCTACACAAGGAAGGACGACAACGGCTTGGGCTTATACTTTGCGGCAGCGTACGCCAGCGTATTCTAGCGTACGCTAGCGTTTCCAGCACCAGCGTATGCTAGTGTAACGCTGGAGTATTCTAGCGTATGCTAGCATACGCTGGTGACGCTAGATCGATATCCATCCTTCCCTTACCACTCTGCTGCCTAACGCTGGACGCTAGCGTACGCTAGAGTACGCTGGCGTACGGTAGTGTAGCGAGGGCAAGGAAAGCATAGGTATCGATTTAGCGTTTTCAGGTATATGTGTATGTTATATGTAGTATATAGGGTTTGGGTTTACATAGGGTTTGGGTTTTCTCTAAAGGGTTTGGCGATCTAGGCTCCGCCCCCTTGACCACGCCCACTTGCTTTTTGCGGAATTTTGATATTTTTCAAAATTTTTGCGTTTTTGGTCTGCTACGTGAAACCCTCCACTGTGGGAGGCTCCGCCCACTCCAAAGAAGCCCCGCCCTTTTCACAAAGTGGTACAGTCAGCAGTATAGAGTCTTGGCTTGTATGCTAGGGAGTCGTCCGTCACTCGGAACAAATAATCATTCAATGTTTGTTTTTTCAGAATTGGTCCGGGTTCTGCTCTTTCAGTTTTGTGATCCCATTTCTCCCATTAAGTGTCTGATTTGAGAGGGCCGGACTATCTTCAACTCCGCGTGCAGCGTTGCTTTTGGCGTGCCTTAGGGCATTTTTTCCAGCTTTTCAAGCTGAGAAACAGTCCTACCAACAGAGCCCTCATTCACGCGTGTTATGTGGCCATACCAATGGAGACGAGATGTTCGCATTTTGTCGACTATTGGAGACGCGCCGAATTTTTTGAGTATGTCATCGTTGCAAATCCGATCCATACGCGTGACACCGGCCGTCAACGTAGCATTTTCATCTCCATCGCGTTAAGGCGGGCTTCAACTTCTTTGATCGCAGGTCGGCCCTAAACCCATGCAACGCTGTTGGTTTGTCCACAGTTCTAGATCTTTGATTTGAGGCCCTCTGGTATCGTAATGTCACTAAGAACTGCAGTCAGGGAGTGCCATTCAGCCCATGCTGCACTTAAGTTCAGACTGCCACTGGACACAATTTCAGATTCAAGTTACTTGGAGGTTCTTGTGGGTTCGATGGCACTGTTTGTAATGGGATCGGATTCGTTTGAGTCGGTCGTCGAGCACTATGAGCTGAAACTTTGCCAGATCAAGGTTGCACTTGTTGCTCGAGATCGCTTTTATCTTGTCTCGAGAACCACATCATCTGCGTAGGGAAGCATCCTGGAACTAGGTTTCTGAAGATTCCGTGAGAAAGCATGCATGACGACCGGCATCCGTGGGGAAAGCGCAGATGTACCCGATGATGACTGTGATAGGAGATTTCACTGAATTGCTGTTTGTACGCGGCTCTGAGCTGGAGTACAGAATGGGCACCCACTACAGGGTGACTAAAAAATCTGGCAATTTCGTGTTCGCGCGTGTTGAGTGGTTATCATAGTCTTTCTTCTCTCCGATAGGTTATCTGTATTCCGCGAGCAATTTTGATCTAATGTATGAGTCATTCAGGAGCGATGGTTCCCTGAGCTTCACTGTGTTCAATCTTGTTGTAGTGAATATAGCGACGAAGCTCTTCTTTTCATTGAATCTTTATTATATGACAAGCGTTTCGGGCATAAGCCCTTCAGAGAAGAAGAGGATGAAAGATGAAAGTGGCACTGAGTTTGTTATCAATATAAGACGTGCAGAATGGAGACATACGTGACTTATTCGAGATCACCCTTGTCCGCACCCTTATAAATGATCCCATTCCATCCACTTTTATTTCTACCCCCTTCTACATAGTGTGGCTTGTTGCTATTATATATTCAGTTTGTTAATGCTGTAACATTGTAAGGGTATATGCTGTTTGATTTAAGATCAAGTGACCTAAAGAAGGGCTTATGCCCGAAACGTTGTCATATAATAAAGATTCATTGAAAAAAAGCTTCGTCGCTATATTTACTACAATAATGGAGGAGTCGTCTATCCAATCACTTTCCGATTTCTCCTCACAATGTCTCGAGAAAATCAAAAGTCACAGTTGTTGAGATGCATCTTCTGGTCGGTGCTGGTTGCTTGAAGAATGTGCTCTCCACCGACGAAAAAATTTTTCGATCACAACTACCGGAATTGTCGTCAGCTCCTCAGAAATGATTATGAAGAAAAGAAATGAAATGACAAGTTCTTTGCGATGGTTGTCGAGTACTGCAGTCGCTTGTCGACAGTTGTACTGTTCTTTGAGCTGACGATAATCTGGCATCTGGATACACCATTCGAGTCCCAGGAGATCGGTAGCTTCTGTGACGATTTTCTTAGCAAGTTCCTCTTCCAGAGTAGGACTCTGATTTCAGTCGAAATTCTGAAGTTGGCTTTGAAAACTCTTGAGATCTTCATTGGTGAACCATCAGCAGTCTTCACTGTTGAGATGCCTGGGCGAAGAGGCGGGGATCCAATTTTGGTCCATGTTCTGCGAGATATCATTGTTATGTCTGCTCCAGTGTCGAGCTGTAGATGGGTGAGCTGGCCATTCTATGCGTACTTTCATTTAGGTTCGCATCTCTGGTCATGACGTCTGTGCTGATCTCTCGTCTTTTGAAAAGAAGAGCCTCTAAAAATGACATGTTTTGATCCAAGTCGCTTCTGGCGTTTATTTTCTTTGTTTCCATTGTTCGATCATCTGAACGCAAAGTAACGAACGTTTCACATTCTGCGATGAATCTTCAAGGGTGGGAGAGGATCCGATTCCTTTGAGACGATTCATCTTGTTCAGGAGTCGGAGACGCATCTCTGAATGGGAAGTGTCGGTGAGACCAGCTACAAAGACAAGACATTTGAGTGATTCGCTGTCAACATCCTTCATGCATGCTTCCTCGAACTTCTTGATCGTGTTTCCAAAGTAGGGTACATGTGATCCGCGCATTGGAGGACAGGATGCCTGCAGGGACAATCGACGGCGAATCAAAGTTTACTTCTGCCCCTATACTTTGGTCAGCGTTTCGACAGTAGTGGGCAGGTCGATATCCCGTGGTTTCAACGGCAAAACGTGTTCGGAATACGTTTTGTAGGTTGCCTTGTCCAGTTTATCAATAATGAGGTTTCGCTTACGTTCTTCCGAAAGCGTGTTCCCTCGATCGTCGATCACTGGTCCATATCGCTTGAACCACGCACTGAACGTTGAGTCGTCGTCTTCGTCATAGTTGAAGTACGGTAGGTCTCGCATTAGGTCTCCATAGGCATCTGAAAAAGAAGATCGTTTTCAGAAGATTGTGCAGACCCTGCCCTTCGCTCAACAAGCGCTGCCAGATTGTTGGATTGCAGTAAGTGAGTGCGCCATCCACTGATGCATCTTTTGAGTGGCTGCAACGCTGCTGGACATGTGAGTTTCGTCGAGTGTTACAGCTTCTTCCAAGTTGAACGGCTACTCGTTGAACTTCTTCCGCAGGTGTTCTTCTGAGGCCTGATCGCCAGTGTTACGGATTCGGGCGAAGTGCAAGAAGACCTATTAATGCATAACGCTATGGGTGTAAATAACCTCTCATTGTATCACTTAGAGCACGACCTCGCAAGCATTAAGAGGTCTACCGCAACACGCACCAGAGTCGAAAATTTGTTTTTTTTTGTCCCATAATAGCCCGGCGAGAAAGAGTTACATACGAGTACGAGTAGACTGGTATTAGCAGTATGAATGAGATCGATTCGTTCGTTGAGTATCGGAAGAGGGTTGGACCTATGAATCGACAGTCGTGATGGAGATCATCGAGGGGGACGAGGATGTCGACGACGAGTCGTGCGGGAGAGCTGGACGAGGGTGGAGTCCGGATGCCGAGAAGAAGCCACGATCGTCTGCCGCAGACTTTAAATATCATGTACTACCGCACCCCTAACACTCCTCTAAGCATGCGCAAGAGAAGCGCGATGAAAGAAATAGATTAGGGTACTATACTTCTATCTAACTACTATGACCTGTGGGACTCTTACACCTCCCCCATTGCAAAAAAGTCCGTCCTCGGACTTGAGACGAGGGAAATGAAGAAGGAAAAACAAGAAGGAAAGTACTCACCATAATGGACGTCAAGTGAGAAAAAAGCAACCGGTTATTCGAGCAGATCGGGCAGCGATGCGGTCGTTTTACGGCGCTGAGATTCCGCGCCCATCGGAGTGGGGTATCCCAGTACGACAAGCCGACTAAAGGTTTTTTATGGCCAAGCACGAATTAGGGATTGTCCGTGGCGACAGCGGGACAGGGCTGCATTCAATCTGTGGAGGTAGTAGAGAAATTCCCCACGCTCAGCTTCGATATAGTCCTGCTGACGACACGCTTTGTGCGTGTCGTCAGCAGGACTACGATATCCTTCTCACGCCCCTGAACGCTATCTACGGTGTGGATGTCAACTTGGGTACGCTTGGCGAAATGCTCTAGAAGGCGACTCTGCTCTTTGTAGAAGACAATGATGGCCAAAGAGGCAGGACGGACGTTCTTCCTGAGCAGCGCCAAGATGATCTGACGGCAGACCTCGGCTTCGGCTTCGTTGGAGTGTGAGCCGGAAAGGGACTTTGACAGAGGAGCCGGAGACGTCTACGAAAGAGGAAGGGCAACTCCGGATTCGGACATCTCACCGTAGATAGGAAGAGCTGCCTATCGATTGCGGGGGTGCCACTGACAAGGGTGTTGCCATAAAACATGAGATTGTGGCAACTCGTTAAGGAGGGGATGCGCGCGGAACGTAGTAGTGAGAGGCGCGCACGGAACCTTCTTCGCAAGCAGGACATCCATTATGCTCTGAGCGCCAAAACGCACGGGATTGATGACCTGGGGCACCGGGCGTGGGGCTCAAGCTGGTGAATGTCACCGATGTAGATATGGTGTGCTTGCGGTAAATGAGTGGCTAAGGCAGCAAGGGCGGGTTCAGGAATTTGAGATGCTTCATCGCCTATGAGAGTGGCCGCGCCAGTTGAGGTGACCGCTGAAGATGCCTCCCAGGGAGATGGAATTGAGGAGGGCCGCGGTCGTCATACAAATTATCGCCGGAGGGCGAACTCTGAACATCGCGTCTACCATCCCTGGTCAGGTCTGAAATATCGCGTTCCGCCAAACGGTACTCGTTGCGCTCGGCATCGGTGAGCTCGGTGGCGAGATCGTGATTGAACAGAAAACGCACGAAGAGTTCACCTCCGCGACGGAAGGCATTGCAATGCATACGAGTTTGAGGCGAAATTACTGGCCCGTAGACGCGAGGTAGGACCTTCAAGATGGTATGGAGATCGATTGAGGTTCGAGGAGCTCCTTCTGCTATGGCGGAATCCGACACGTAATGCAAAACATCAAGATGACGTTATTGCTCAAGACGAAGCAGGGTTTCCGTGAAGGAACTACGGCGTTGTTAGTCGTGGACGTCGCTATAACCACCGTCCATGTGGAATAATAAAGTCGGGCTGCAATAAAGGCGCCGACTACAGTCTTGCCATTGCCAAACGTTGCTTGGATCGCGATGACCGGGAGACGCCGGTCGGCCATCTGAAGAGCGGCGATCTGATCCGGGCATAGCTCTATCGGGCGTCCACCGACGGGTGGCTACGGTAGTCTCGAAAGGACGGCATTAGGTCAGCAAAGCGAGCCGTAAACGGCGTCAAGGACGTCGGATGCGGGAGCACTATCCTGAAGTCTCCCTCTCTCTCTCTCTCTCTCTCTCTCTCTCTCGCCCAACCCCTTCCTCTGCTTCTTGCGCGTGCTCACGTCAAATTGCTAGGCGTGCAGCACGAGCAATGGCTCGGAACTCACCAAATGGTTGTCTTATATAGTGAACCGTGTTATCACATTCAAAGCAATACCTCGAATTGATACTACAACATGGAATGGATCGCAACTCTGCTAGCGGTTGATCTCTCTTTTTCTTCCTCTTCTACTACCCCCCCCCCCCTCCCCTCCCCTCCCCACGTCCCACCTCCCTCGCACCAACCCTTTCCCACTGCCCCCTGCACGATGCCCACGTCCAGCTGCCACGCGAGCAGCTCGTGCAATGGCTCGGAGTGTACCGAATGGTTGTCTTATATAGTGGAGGCCGTTATCACAATCAAAACATTGGATTGATACATCTGCACTTACTGGCTTTGAATTGGCTAACGGTCGTTTTCTTCGTTTAGTTGCCTGCTTAATTCCGTGAAGCATTTTTGTGGACGGACAAACATATCTACATACATACATGCATACATACATACACTCATAGTTCTCTGCGGACGGTTGGGCGTGTCAGCCAGTATGAGTGTGTCACCCTATCAAAGCCGTTCTCTGCCTTCTTGTTGAAGAGCGTCTGCGACAAAAAGTGGTAGAAGACTAGTAATACGAAGGATATGATACAGTATTGTCACTTGCCCGCTTCAACAACTGGTGTAGAACGAGTTTGGCACCGCGCCAAGCGCAGCCGCACGACACGCCCAACCGTCCGCAGCGAACTACACTATACATACAACATACATACAGACCGACAAACCGATATAAAAAGTTAATAATAGAATGGAAAGATCGGTATTCACACACAGGGCTAGAATCGGGCATTTGGCTACCTTTTGGACTGAATACGGTCGCAGGGCCGAAATCTGATAGGCTCATGTGGTACTGTTCAGAACTGCTCTTGAGGGGAAGACTAGAGAAAACCCAGATTCTTATCGTTGTGAGACTTCGAACGCCAATGTTTTATGAGCATAGATTTTTCTGCTGTTATGCGACGCACGTGTTAGCGTGTGCAGCAAGAGGGATATTTCTTAAAAATTGTAAAATTGTTCATTGAACTCGAGTGATCCCTTTCAGGTACGTGCTGCTGCAGCGAATTTGAATTACATCCGCCTTGATGGTAACATTGGATGCATGGGTTGGTAAGCCAAAGTAGTGCGCATTTTCTCACTAATTCGAATAATTTTTAGTAAATGGTGCCGGTCTAGCAATGGCCACTATGGACATCATCAAGCTTCATGGAGGAGAGCCGGCAAATTTTTTGGATGTAGGAGGGGGTGCTACAGTTGATCAAGTTACAGAAGCATTCAAGATAATCACTGCAGATGAAAAGAAGGTACGTAAAAGTGGTTCGTTGGAAGTGGTTCGAGTATGGCGAGTAATCAGTATCCAGTCGCGAGTCGTCATGGATCATGATATCGCATTCGCACTTGCTCCATATGAATGGTAGATGGTACTCTAAAGGCAATGTGCGCAGTGATTTGACTAGGATGAATATGCTCAGTAGTGAAGGATAGCAGGCCCCTGAATAGGCGCTGTGTGGAGCATTTTGTAACAAAGGATGCAGAAAGGGACTCACGAGACCTAACCTTTGGACACTTTTTGCAGTAACTGCTTGCATAGAAATGTTTTGGCAGGCGTTATGTTACTGCCTGGTATTTGTCGACTTTGCCAGCGTTCCGTCTAAAAATGGAATCCGTTTTTTTGAAGGGTTCTATGCATGATGTAGGGGAAACTGGATGGACTATGAAACAGCGGCTCATTCTTGCTGAACGGCTCTGTGTATGCAAAAAAGGGTATACTGTAGGTTGGCGAGTCGAGTCCCTTTGGCGACAAAATTTTGCATTCCTCTAGTTTTTGATTATGCCGGTTATTGTGTTCGTATTAGGTTAACGGGAAAGTTCTGTCACATTTTTTCAAATTAGCTTTCTTTTTTTTAGAGAGGCGTACAAGATCAAAATTATACAGCAATGTTATTGCGGGATCCTTGCCAGTTTTTGAGCACTTCGTGGATGCCATCGCTTCACAATGCAGGCCGGCGCGACGCAAAGTTGGACATCATCTCAATTTGACTTGGGCTCGAGTCGTGGAGGTTTTCTCGGCCATATAACGGTACGGGAGGCAACTAGCAGTTAGAAAGAGCAATGTCTGGGCTACACCAGTGCAAGGGGAGAGCCATCCAGCTCTATTGCATGAGGTTCGGCTCGAACTTTTTTTGGACGGAGTGGGCTGCACCATCACGTTGAAGACGGACTGTGCGGACGAATTTTTCCCTCTGATCGACGATTCGCTTCAGATCTCGTAGCTGCTTTGCGTACGGATTGACCGAGGAAGCAGCTTCTTCATCCAGCAGTTTCCCGACCCACAGCTCCCTCAAGCTGAGTTCACAGGTACACCCAAACCTCACTTCGTCATTCAAACTGTAGGCTCCCGTTCTGAAGCATTAGCGTCGTGGAAGATTGTCTGATAATTGTAGACATCGTCCTTATGCAGCTTCATTATTTCGGCATCGACAGCTGCTCCTCAGGGTGGTAGAAGAAAGAGTTTTCCAGATCGAGAGTACTGGTCTCCAGGTAGCTATCCATGGGTGACTCCATACTAGAAGTTTCGCAGCTGTTTGGAGGTGACATGAATTCCAAAGGTCTTCTCCAGTCAGGCTGCGACTGGAGATGACTTCATATTTTGGTGTACATGAAGGTGATGGGCGAGAGCCAGCTCCTGCTTATCGAGGAACATCTTGGGTATCTTCCGCCCTGGTACTCGTATCCACGTCCTCTGTCTGGGCTGCGAAAACTTTGCTGATATGTGACTCGGTCGAAGTGACTTTTTTTGCCCCCCCCTCTGTATGTCTGAGCCTTCGTCCAAACAGTGACATGCCCAGAAGCAAAAACACGAGA